GGAGGTGAAACTAAAGAGTGAAGGTCTTCTGTAAAGCACAGGGAACTCTAGTCAATATCTTGTAATAACCTATAATGAAAAAGAATATGAAAACGAAAAAAGAAAGAGTGAAGGAAGTAAGGCAGCAATGGGGCTGACAGGCTGGAAAAGAAGAAAGATTAAGAATTTATATTAAAAAAGGAAAAAAAGAAAAAAGTGTTTAGGACTGGGGACAGCTCAGTGGTAGAGCACATGCTTAGCAAGCACAAGGTCCTGAGTTCAATCCCAAGTACCTCCAGTGAAAAAAAGAAAAAAGGAAAAAAGAACCTGTATGTCTGCAGTAGGGAGGGATAAATTAGGAGTTTGGGATTACCAGACACAAACTACTATGTATAAAATAGATAAACAGCAAGGTCTTAGTGTACAGCACTGGGAGCTATATTCAGTAGCTTATAATAGCCTATAATTAAAAATACATATACAGATGTATAACTGAATCACTATGCTGTACACCAGAAACTAACAGAACATTGTAAATTGACCATACTTCAATTAAAACAAGAACCTATATGTCTCTTTTTTATTTGTCCATCCAACCTCAATAAATCTGGATTAAAAAGAAAAGAACTTGTATGTCTCTGTGTGATCTGAGAACAGTAGTAATACAAGTTAGGGCTTGGTAGAGGTGGAAATAGAGACTGGTAGGTACACTGGAGTCAAAGATTTCTAATATGGAGCAGTTTTTAGCATGGTCATGTGTGAGTCTGGTCGACCTGGAGGGAAAATACTTGTCACTTGAGTTGTATAAACCATGGAAGTGTGGAGTTATGGAGTTTAATGTTTCTTTCAAAGGAAACTGCATTTATCAGGGTGCTGGCACAATATAGAGGCAGATAGGAACTCAGAGCTACAAGCTCTGACAAATGTAAACAAGAACCATAAACTGGTGGATGAGAAAGAAGGTGGCAGAGAAATGTTTACCCATCTGAGGGGAGTACTGGTTTGGTGATAATGGAAATGAGGAAAATTCAGAATTCCCTCCAGCCCCTACAATGTGCAGATAATGGGAGACCATGAGTCCCCTAAGTTCTAAAGAGTAGCACCGGAAGCCGGATTTTCAAGATAAAACAAGAAGGGAGGGAGGGAAGGTTATAGAGGAGAAGAGAAAGGGGAGGAGTAGGTTTATAATGGAAATAAATATCCAAAGGCACAGTGGAAAAGTCTTTTAGGGAAGGGAGCAGTGGGAGGATGAGTCAGGAAAGAGAGAATAAAGTGGCATTGGTCTGGAAGTACAGGAGAGGAAAAGAGTGGGAGACATAGAAGCTAAATGAGGAGATGTAAAATCCAAGAATGATGGGTGAGTTCATTCAGCTGGTCTCGAGACGAAACTCTGGTGTACTGTTCAGGTATCTCTGATATTCTGAATATAGCTATATTCAGATAAGGTCGCAGTGGATTCTGTATCATGATATCCAGGCTGGGAAGCTGGGGTGGTCATGCTGGAGCAGGTCTAGTTTGGCTCTATTATGCAATAACTTCTAAGCCACTGTGTACAGTACATGTTCAATGTGTATTTATTATTCGCCCAATGAAAGAGGAACTGGGTGTAACCAAAGAAAACAGATCAAGTCTCCAAAGGACTGAAAAGCCTAGACGATCTCAGCTTTTCTTTTTTACTTTCCCATTTCAACAGTCATAAAACTGGAGAATTGGGTGGAGCTGAGAGTCAGCGGCCTCAGAGAACTGGAGCAGCTGAGAGACTATCCTGCCCAAAAAGGCAAGGTATTTACCAGATGAACTTAGTCTTGAGTAGGAAGGTGTGTTTGTCGAAAGGGGGGTGGGGAGGGAGGAAGAATTCATTGTACTCAATCCCATGGAACGTGTCCAAAAGAGCCACTCACTGAAAAGTCTATGAGATTCAAGCTTCTGAAATGAATGCAGGGAAATCAATCCATGGCCAGATGAGGTGGAGGAAAATGTCTTTCTTTTAAACAGAGAAGCTCCCTGCACCCCCTCCCTCACTCCTTACCATCATCTCTATGAAATTACCCTACCCTACATATCCTCATCTCACTTCATCTTCTGAATCTTTTCCCAGATCTGATCTCAATAACATTGTCACTCGTCCTTTGGGGATTTGACTCTATGTTTGTTGATTGATTTGTTTCCTCCTCTCTTTGCTGCAGTAGACAAAGTGCTGAACCAGATTATCATTAATTATCCAGAACCAGATAAAAATAACACCTCAAAAACTAAAGGTAAATCCCTACCAGGGAGATTGACAGACTCCCAAAGTTGTGAAAGTTCAATGCACACTACTTTGTTTCAAAATAATTATTTTCATTCTACAATTTAGGAAATAGGAAAACTTTCTTGACCTCCAGCAAATTTCTAACTTCAGATTTTTATCTGTTAAATGATGTATTAGTATTTACCTTTTCAAAGCTGTTGTATTAAGGCTATTAGGGAATTAGTATGAAATAGGCATTCAACAAATAACTATTATTATCTTTCAATCTGCATAAAATACTATGTAAGTATCACAACAGTCCAGTTAAATAAGAAAAATTATTTGGCATCTAAATAGTAGACTATTGAGGGTTTATGTGAAATAATTTGCTTAAAGCTAATATCTGGTTAATTGATATCACACCCTAGTGGTCACTCCAAGGTCATCTTGGGATCTGACCCAAAACAGAAAGAGCTTGTTCCTGAAACCATATCCTAGATCCGGAATCCTAAAAGGCACTAATACCAAATGACAGGTGCCTCCTCTGATTCACTTATTTGGCACATAATCTGAAGTGAATTCACATTACAGAGCCCTGAAGAGGCTATATTCTGAAGCGGTTGAGAATATAGCCCTGGATTTAGATTGTGCGGAATCAAACTCTATTTTCTGTGTGACCTTGAGCAAATTATTTCCTTCAGGTGCCAGTTTCCTCATCTACAAAATGAGGAGAATAATAAAACCCATCTCCCAGAGCTATTGTGAGGGGCAGCTGAATTCATATGTGTAAAGTGCTTAAAATAATGCCTAGCACACACTAAAAATGGTTAAATAAGTTTTAGTTATTACAGTAACAACTATATATTTTTTTAACGTCACATGAATGGCCACCTAGAATTATGGATGAAGATGAGTGTGGCTTTAAAATCGGTACAATCCAATCCCCTCACAAGACCCTTGTCAAAGTGAGACTCAAAGAGAGAAACTGACTTGGTGAAGTATTTGTGACAAGCACTGTGCTAAGCACTTACTGCGTTATCTCATTTATTTCTCCCAACAACTCTATGAGATGGGTACCATTATTGTCCTCATTGGTGAGAAACCGAAGCTAAAGGAAGTTAACTCCCGTGCCCAGGGTTTCACGGTAGTATGTGATGAGGCAGGATTAGAAACCAGAGCTTCTCTTCTAGAGTCCACCCCCTCAAAAATTCTATGCCATTCTGCTTTTTAAAACCAATTGAGGGGGAGGAAAATAGCTCAGAGGTAGAGGGCATGCTTAATATACATGAGGCCTGGGGTTCGATCCCCAGCACTTCCATTAAAACAAACAAACAAACAAACACCAATTGAATTCCTAAATTTCTACATCAAAGCACATAATCAACAAGATTTGGGCTTGGAAATTTCCAAAGCAAGTGTTTCTAGTTACCAGCCATAGGAAAATCTTAATAATTCTTCCACTGTACCACATAATTTCCTGGTCAACTTGTCTCGATGAATTAATTGCAAAACGCTCCTTTAATACATAACAAAACAAATTGACTTTTTGTGTGGTGTTATGAGAAGAGCTAACTGGAAGGCAGTAAGCCTTCACCTAATATTTATAGTTCCTTATGTCATCAGCATCTCCCTCGCTCTCAGCTGATGATTCCACTTCTACGTCACTGAGAAGATACAGGCCATTGGGCAGTAAATTCCTCAGCATCCTACCTCC